ACGTGCCACCATCCTCATTTCCTTGCAGCCAAGAGCGGACCTCCATAATATTTCTGGTTGAGGGAACAAGAGACGTGAGAGAAGATGCACAATGCTGTGTTGCAATGAGGTTGAGTCAAAACAGCGATATCTCTGAGCTGGCTGGAGATTTATTTTTGGCTTCCCCGAAATTCCCTCAAACAAAACTCAGTTGCCCAAAGGACCAAAAAAAAGTGGACCTTTTGGTGTCGGCCAGAAACTGACCAATTTAGGGTAACCGAAAGGCTAAGCAGGTCGGCTTGGGCAACTGAGAGAAAAGAGGACGACTCTTACCCGACACAGCTTGAACTCCACCAACTTCTGCGGCCCGAAATGCAGAGCTTGGGTCCCCGAAGAAGAGGTTCTGCAAGGGCGTGGTATCCATCAAGAAGACCTGGCTGCCGGTCTGGGAGGGGAGCTTTGGATTTGGGCGCCACGAATTTTCCTAGTCGGTGGGCCATAAAAGGGTCTGAACTTGCTGTTTGCGACTAAAACGGTCTTCCCAAAAAGTTTAAAGTCCAGGAACTCAGGTTCGCGAAAAGCCAGGAAGGCTACCTGAAATTGGGGGCGGGGAATATGTAGTTGCAAGGCAGTACTCCTGAGGTACACAACCCCCACACCCATACCTGCAGATTTCCTGGAAAACGCCGGCGCAGGCAAACCAGCCACAACTGGGTCTTCGCGACCCTAGGTACGTCAGGAAGGAGGATGCTAGTTTGTAGCCCAGCACCAGGCAAGGACAGAAGAAAGACAGCACAAATCAACTCTCAACGGCTTGAAACAAACCCAGAAAAAGTCGTGGCCGTGTCTGGGCAGCACGGCATAGCACCAACACGCGCCGTGCCGTTCAACAAAAAGCTGAGCTGCGCCACATCGGGATTTGTCCAACAATACGGGGGCCTAAAGTGGGTTGGGCGAGTAGCTTCCTCCCAAATGGGGCCTGAAATCAACTGCCGACGTGTGCCTTGTCTCCCATCCGGCGGTTGAGTTTAAGCTAAAGACACGCCTACAGCTTCAGAACTGCCGGAGGCTGACATCTTCCAATTAGATGATTCATTGCCAAAACACGTTCGCGTTTCTCTCCGCAACTTCTCGGTCACAATTATCACCCTAACTGGAGCTATTGCACAGTATTGTTCCCTTGTGGCCAACAGGTGTCTCCCTCTCTTGGCATTGCTTAACTTGAGCTTCAATCGATATATCTATTGTGGCATGTGATTCGCACATGCAAGGCCTGTGTTGCTCAAGAAAAACCAAGCGCAACCGGCGCAAGAGTAGTTCAACAGCCATCAATCCAAAGCAACCACTGTAATCTTAAACCACGCACACAAACACGCAAACACAAAGTAACGCCATCCATTCACCCAACCCACCTACCAACAAGCAACTAAGCAGCCGGGCAAGCATGCAACTTTGAAACAGGCAAGCAAGCAAACAAGCAAGCAAACCAAATTCGTTCTTCCCCCTTAGGCTTTGGCGGGGAGCAGAACTGCTTCTCCTGCCTGGTGGGTCACTAAGAGGCATCGCAAGTGCGAAGGGGTGAGCACCTTGCCGCTACTGGCCGCCACTTCCTGGGCCAGCAAACGAGGGTAGAATCTTGTAGGGAAAAACCTAGAGCCTTCAGGGGAGGGGGAGCAGCCCTAATGTCTCCTTGGCATCCCGCCCTGGAACGGAGGAAATGACAGAAGGCAGGGCCTAAAATTATTAGGAATTCAACTGAAGAGCACCTTTTCCAGTCCCAAGGTGGAATGCAAACCCTTGATGCAATCTACAAACCCAAGTTGGAAACTCCTGAAGCTTCACAGTAAAAGCTATAGTGTTTGGAGCAAGGGTATTGGTCCTTCTCTCTCTCTCTCTCTCTCTCTATCCCCTTTATCTTTCTTCCCTTTCTCTTCCTCGTTCTCCATGTTTCTTTTTCTTAGTCTTTGTCCGATCGTCTTTGCCTCATTCAGTCTGTTCTTTATGCCTAGCTTCATAATTATCTTCCCCTTTTTCTTTATCGTTATCTTTCTCTGCGTGTTCTCTGGCTCTCTCTTTCTCTCTATCTGTCTCTTTCTCAGCATCTTACCTTTCTCTCTCTCTCTATTTCTAATTTTTGTGTTCTTTTCTCTGTCTTCATATGTGCCCTCTTCTTTCACTTCCTCGTTCTCACTTTTCTTTGTTCGTTTGCGTTCTCTTTCCCTTTCTCAGGCTGTATCTTATTCATTTCCCTCATCTTTATCCCATGTCACGTTCCTATATCGTTGTGCTTTTTCACCCTCTACTTTGATATGTTATTCTCATTTTCCGCTTTGTCTTTCCCTTTGTCCCTTTATGCTTGTCCCTCTCCTTCTTCATCTTTCAATGCATTTTTGTGTCTTGTCATCATCTTTGTAACACTTCTGCTTCTTGTCTGATTATTCTGTGAACTTATGTTCTCTGATCCTCCCTCGGGTACGTAGGTCCCCCCCGATTTCATTTCTTTGGGCTCCTTGAGTAGCAGTACAAACTCAGTAGCGAAACCAGCCCGGATACATCCCAATTTCCGCACAACTCTTTCACGCCAATCGGTGCACCTCGATGGATTCTACTTGCTCGTCTACGAGCACATGCTCTACATGAAGCAGAGAAAGCAACTACTTACTTAAGGGTGCTCAATGTCCTTGCTTAAGGGTGCTTTGGGGCTGCTTGCTGTCTTTGGAGTCACCCTGGAACGGTTGTCCCATTCCCCTCTCCACAGCTGTTACTCGATGACACAAGCAGCCAAAAACAAGGGATGGATTGAAGAAACTCATGAGGCAGACATGTGGGCAGAACGAAACACGCACGCTTGTTTCTTCTTATTCTTCCAACTGCATACGTGTTCAAGTCCATTGAACACTGCGTAGCGCAGCACTGAGACGAAGCCAATCTTGCTTCCAGGACCTGCGTGCGCAGACGTCAACGACCAGCACATCTTGATGATGCGCCGGCCGATTTGAGCGAGCTTGGCTTGGCTTCATTCGATTGCCCACAGGCGCTCACGAAGGCTCACGCGCGCAAAACCGGCGGAGTCAAGTGGTTGATATCTTTCGCCAGCGGCTGCAGAAGCTTCAAGGAATCCTTGCCTTTGCGACAGAGCAGCAAGCACACGCTGCGTGCACCCGAGAAACTAGAACACTCGAGGCACAAGGCTGGCACTGTGTTGGAGGGATCTCCCGCGCTTTCGAAGCACTGCGTCACCGAACTGCTGCGGGTCGTGTTTGGCAAAACAATGTCGAAGTAGCGGGGAGCCCGCGCGCACAAGCGCAAGTCTTTTGCATTTACCTGCCAAGGCGGGCGTCTGGAACAAGGCGCGCAATGCATCTTTGGGCTGGGCCTAGCAAGCATTACCAGCCCGACGAGCCATGTTAAGTGGGCCAAAGTGGGACTACTGGTGCCAAACACACACGGACCGGCACTCGTTGCTGGGATTTGCAGCACGTAGTGCTCGATCTGCCGGAAGCCTGCCTGATTCCTCATGAACTGGTGCGAGCTTGCTTGGTGGAACTTGCCCATCCTGGGTGCGTATCCGCGGCCCCTAGAATTCGCCCAATGTAATTACCAGCACGGCTAGCAGCATTCAGCCGCAACCGCTGGATGTTGCGCCAGCGTGAGTAGGAGGGTGAGTTGGCTCAGGGACTGGCTTCCCCTTCCGCTTCCTGGACCCCGCAGCTGCGCTTCGAAAGATGCTCACCGCGCACACTTCCTGAGTGCGGGAACGCAATGAAATCGGGGAGGCCCCAATTTCGGGGACCAATTGGGGCGTTATGACACTGCCTGCGGCTTCCAAACAAGGCGTTTTGGCGTTGCTCATGTGGAGGAATCGTGGTCTGTAGCATCCAATTCGTGGGCGTTATGGCATCACTCGTGCAAAGAAATCGTGGCGTTGCCTCCTCCTCCAATTGCGGGGCGTTATGCCGTGCTACACTTGTGGCGGCAAACACAGCCCATAGCAGTCTGAGTAAGCCATGCTTCATACATGCCGGAGGCTGACTTCAGGCCCGAAATGCTGACCTTGGGCTTGAACTAAATTGGCCAAAGTCTCTTGCGCTCGTAGCCACCCAGCTGCCCTGGAATTCCTCTCTGCCCTTTGCGGCGCTCAGTCAAAGCATGCTGCGCAGCATTGTAAGGAATACAATGGGCCCCTCGTCAAGCGCCGAATCTGCATGCCACTCAGGTCTTCGACCACTTCCACCAAATTCGTGTCACCCAGCTGGCCAATGTCGAAGATCTTCTTGGATGGCGCGGTAGGCCTCGTCCATGTCTGTGTCAACCGCTTTTTTGGGCTCACTACCCTTCCTTGCTTGCCATGCTTCAAGCGCATCTTCTGCATCTTATGGCTCTGCGTCTGGCCTCAGAGGCACGCGAAGCATTTCCGAAGCCGTGAAGGGCAAATTGTGAGCGATATTAGCAAATCTGTGGCATGCCAAACCCCAGCAATTTCTCGGAGAAAAGATGAGAAAAGGTCAGGAAATTGCAAGGCATGGACAGCGCAGCGCACCAGCCTTTGCGCAATTTTGCTTTCCAGCCAGCTGTCCTCTTGCCCGCAAAGCTGAAGAGTGGCCAGCATGTGGATGCAGCTTTCTCATCGGATTCTTCACACACGATGCTGCGATAGCAGCACCAAGCACGACGTGATGACTGCGGCCGTCGGGAAGGCACATTGCATTGCCTTGGGCGCAACATGCGCATGCGTGTGGAAACCTACAACCAAAGGGCAAAACCAAGACGCACCAACCGACGTAAACGTGATTTGACATGTCTCGCTGAAACAACCGCACGCGCTCCTCATCTTAACTCTTCTTTGATTTTGGCTGGGCGCCCAAGTGAGAAAACGTGCACGAGTGGCCCGAAATCGGCCCATGAGGTCCTGCAGCAAGCATGCGTGGATGCTTTGATCAATGCTGAGAACCACTCTTCTCCTCCACGCGTCTATGCCTTTTTCTTGCTGCCCAAGTAGGTATATGCGGCGACCGCCTGTGGGTTTCTTGTGGCCTTTCCAACTTGACTCTCTGCAAGCTCTAGCGCTGAACAGAACGGCTGAGGATATTGCTTTCCGTTCATAAAATACAAGTCTACGCAAACCATGAATTGTCTTGCGCGGGCTTGCGAAGGACCTTGAATCACACTCATAGAAGGCATTCCGTGCTGTTCTATCGAAGGCCGCAACATCATTGAAGATTTGACTATGCGATTGACGCCGCGCAAGAAGCTCCCGCTTCACTGCGTTGCTCTCGGCTGCGATCAACAGGACTGGCGGATTGGTGCCCCTCATCGGCAACCCATGCCTGAAGAAAACAATCCAGCGCAAGCTGGACCGTGCCCATTCCTGCGCAAAGGCTGCAGATCCGGATTTCTCACACAAAGCACAAAGCGTAGGTCGTGGCTGCGAAACGTTCGAAAAATTCCAGCCACATGCTTCTGAGAGTCACAAGGCCTGACTGGCACTGGCAAACATAGAGGGTGCCAGAAGCGCTAAATCAATTGCGAATGGAGTCATGTTTCCAGATGTAGAAAAGAGGAAAGCGTTGGTCCATGGTCCCAAATCGCACAAACATGCCCCCCAATGCAAAGATCAGCAAAGCGTCACGCAAGTCAGAAAATAAGCTCCTGAACAGACAGAGGATATCTACAGACGCAGATAACTGCCGATTCGCACGCAAGTTGTAAGCAAGAGGAACACGCTCATTGGTCCCGTCTCCGAGACCGTTCAGAACCCGCTCCGAGACCGCCTCCGTCAGATGTCGCAACCGAGGTGGTTTGCGCACACGCAGAAGTGCCGAATTCACACACACACACAAATAGTCTCTGCTTTCTGCCTCTGACCATTCCCCAATTCTCGCGCTTTCTGGCATCTTCCTAGCTTGTTCACAAGACGTCTTGCTTTGTCATAGCCTTTTTACGCATCTTGGGTGCATTTCTTAGGGAGCGCCAACCTCAATCAGTTCCAGTGCTACGGAAGATCTTGTGGGATCCGACGGCATTTATGGACCTTTCCGTGGCATGAACCTTTATGTAGACATGCTCTTTTGCAGCGTCCCCCTCTGCCCCAACAAAACCAGCTCGCGAAGGTGGTTGCAAAATAGACTCTATGTGTGTCCACCACGCACACACCCCAACTTTTTGTTCTGGTTTCGAAAGGAAGGCCTCAAGGATCTGGGTCTTCCACCCGAAGCAAGCAAGAGAGAATTATTTTCCACCAGAGTCCCTCAAAGCCTTGCAATGTGACGGGGTTCTCAAAAAAATTTCCCGTTGGGACCCGGTTGTTTTCCAGACCGCACTGCCATTTAGCGAACCGCAGGCTGAGGCGGATCCCAAATATCGGCCTATGGCTGCCTTTTGGTTTCCGAAAAATGAACAAAGAAGCTCCCAAGTTGGTTCGACAAGGCCCATGGCGTGTTTCTTCTTCCCTTCACCATTCAGGTTCGTTCTTGTGTCGCAAAGAGGCCCGTTGCCCAACACGAAGACCCAATTTGGGTGTTAATGTTCACGGGGGGCCCTTTGGTGAACACCAAGCACATCGGTGAAACCAAGTCTGAAAATTCATAGCAGTCATAGCCATTCACTTCCTGAGTGGATTGGCAAAAACAAGTCTCAGAATTTCATATTTACCACCAAAATGGTAGTATAAAGTCCAGGAACTCAGGAAGTGAGGTTGCGAACACTGCCACAAAATCCCCTTGCCTTTTCCTTTTGCCGAGAGTCTCCGGCTAGGAGCTTGATCAGCTTCGTCTTGCCTGCCATACATACAAACACGTCAACAGATATGGGTAGGTTTAAGATTAAAGAACCCCAAACCATGATTAGAGCTAGTCCCAGTTATAGAATGTAAACTTTATTGTTTGCTTCAGTTTGAGTCACTGATAAAATGTAAAATGCATCCTAAGTCTACCACAGAAAATAGTGGTTTCCCTTTAAACAAACAAGGGTACCGTGGCAAAACAAAAAGCAACACCCTTTTGGAACGTGACCTTTGGTTCTAAAGCGCCATTTGCAAAGCATGCTTGATGGTGACCATCCCACCTTCAATGCCAGGAAAGAAAACAAATCAAGCAAATGAACGCAACGACACAGCTTGTGTCCAAAACCATCCGCAGCGGGAAACCTACTGCAAAAAAAACAAGCAAACACATGGGTCAAAAATCAACCAGGGGACCGCAGGTTTTAGTCTATGTTTCCATTTACCAGGGTTCCATTTTACCTATTTTTGACCCGCAGCCAAACAGGCAAACAAGGGTCAGACAACTGACTGAGAGAACCGAGAGGAGCGGTGAGGATCTTTCAGAGCTCCGCTCTTTTCCACCCACCAGGGGGCATTGTCCACAAGCTCGACTGGCCCGGACGCGAAACGCTACCATCAAAAAGCCCTTGGGCCTACAAGGCAAAGGGGCCCTCCGATGGCGTGTGGAACGACACTTTCTTCGGAAGGGATCAAGAGATCGGATCCTCGTTCACACTCCTGTCGTCTGCGTGATGTCGCTGGTGACAAATACCTTCAGCTAGTGAACAGGGACCCTCTGGCAAATCATCCGAACTGAAACATATGAATTCTTAACGTGTAAAAAAAAAGAGTACATACTTACTGAACAAACAGCGCCAAGGCGTCCATTCACGGTTTGCCCAAATGCCAACATGATCCACCCGTCCGCTGCAAGAAACATCGCTGGAGGGCTCTTGGTTCAACCAAGGCCTGCCGGGAGTGGGTGGTCTTCTCCAAATTCAAGGACCCCAGATGGGTGGCTTCCTCTCAGTTTCCCGAAATATCGAGCAAAAAGTAACTGAATGTTCCCAGAGTGCCTTCCAAAGCCACACACACTCTTGTGTTAATCTCGTCTGATGTTTGTGTCGTCTTATGATTTATCCTCTTTGCTGTAGTTGGCCCGCATTGATTGGAGGAATTGCTCAGTCCATGAGCTCCCTCAGAGGCGTCAGTATTCAAGCCCCAGGTTGATTGATCTCTGTACCATGTTGATAGTAGATACTCGACCAGTAATTTAGCCAAGGTTCAGCCAAAAAGCATGAATTACGAACCCTTACCGGCTCAAGCCTGTCCCCTACAAGATAATGTGCAAGCAAAATAGCATGTATATATACATATATGTATATATACAAATGCACACATCATGATATTGACTGAACAAATATAGCTTGCCTTCAAGCAATATAATCTGTGTGGGCACGAAGGTCAACAAATCCATGGTTTGTCTTTGACCTCCGTTCTACATAAATCAAACAACCCAGCAAAAGGGATCAAGCGAGGTGAAACGTCAAAAGGTTTGTCTCTGTCTCCAAGTTGAATCGGGCGCCCGCCCGAAAATTTCCCGCAAAAGAACAAAAACACAGGCACCCTACGTTGGTCAGCTTCCCTCCAATGGGTGGGTTGGCGGCTGAAAGCTTCGGTACACCCTCGACAAGAATAATTTCAACTTCCTCAGCCGCTGAACCAAACCAGCACAGGTTACGGGAGGTTGATTCCAAAGGTAAGTACCCTCCAAACAAAAGTTGAACAAATCGAGCTGAAGGTCTAAAACAACTCCCATCCACTGTTGGCTAGGCAAACATGCATAATGAGTCATCACCAAAACCCTTGCTAGGATAGAGGTGTGCGTCGAATTGTCACCAGCGATAAAACACCGCTCGTGCCTGAGCCCGCATTCCCAATCAGCTCCTGAAGCGAGAAGCTGCACGTAGGACAATTGTTTGGGAAGCCTTTGGACATCAGTTGGCCTGTCATCTTCTATGAGTGTTGAAGCGGGAATATGCACTCTGAATATTGACCCCGGATGAATTTTCACCCGTCCTATCGTCTATTAAGAACGGGTGGAGAAAACACCCTCCAAAAGTGGTGATTCCACACCAAAAAGGGACAGCCGCCTACGGGCCTACGAGTCAACCGGGAGTTTCATCCAGGGACAACGTCAACTCCTGGGCAACTTGCGCAACACCCAAGAAACCGTCTCACGGGTAAGCCCATTCTACCCCAGCTCGTGATATTTTGTGCTTTCCGGTTTGCTCAAGTCAGTCTAAGGAGAAAACACATGGCCGTGGCTCTTTGAGCACGGTGCCAAAATGGTACCTGCGTTCATAGAACCAAAGACTATCACCTGCGTAACCCCGGCGCTTTAATTTTGAGCCGCACCCAGATTGGTTACCAAAGGTCACTGGCAAGAAAGTCACTTCCTGAGTGGATGGGCAAAAAAGGTCTAAACTTGATTGCTAAAAGTTCCAGGAGTCCAGGAGTCCAGGAGCTCAGAGAAGAACAAAATACAACTTACCCCAGTAGCAAACCGAACAACCACGGAAACCCCCCAAAAAAACACTTCCTGAAGCTGCGGTGTCGTCTTTCTTCCACTTGAACGTCGGTAAGCTTCTGGTACCCTTCGAAGAAACCCACTTCGAGATGGAAAGGTTCTCCACTGAAAGACAGTGGGGTGATTCCAAGGCAATTGGAAGCAAAGAAAAACACATATTTGGGGTTGTCTCCAAATGAGATGTAGAGCCCCCCTCCAAACAACAAAATACGATTGCTTGTTCTTTGAAGCAAACCACGGATTGGGTATGTGTCTCAATGGGTCCGTTTCTTGAAGGGGGTAGGAGGCTCCCTTCCAATTGATTTGCAAAATCATATTTGATATGGCATTGTCTCAAGTGGGGCAACCTCTAAGATGGTTGGTTGCCCTTTAAACCAACCCAAACAAGTACGCTAAAAAAGAACCACACACACACGCATATTGGCTCCCCTGTGAACACCTGAAATCAGAACGTTCCTCCAACGATCAATGACCCCCACCCAAGCGGGTAACTCCTCCAAAGATTTGAGAGAAAGCGAAAAGAATCAACGTGCCAGTGTCACGCCATACTGTGGATGGTCGCGACATCCATTTCGCACCACTTTAAAACCACAGGACACCATTGTTTGTTGGTATTTACAGGGCAATCATTATTACAGGGTCTCTTAGGTGGTCCCGGATTTCGTCCATCCACAGTAGGGCTTATTCACCACTTCGCTTGCAAACCAGAAGCGAGAAGGGCTTTAGAGCGTGTAGAGGTGGTCTTCATGGGAACTTCCGAAAGACACTCAGATGCCCAGTGGCCATGGGAAAAAAAAGGGCGCCCTTTTTGTGTTGGTTGATTTTGAAGGGGAGCCCTCCCAAAAAAAAAGCGGCAAAAAGGGCACCACTGGGCAACTGGGAACCGTGGCGAGGTAGGTTCATCACGCCGAGGCGCCACTAAGTGGCCTTGCTGCACGGACTGCTGCAGGTCGCGGAAGAGGAAATTTTCTGCAAGCAAGTTGCTCATGGTTTCCAGGACCCCGGCAAGAATTATATTTTTTGCCTAGTGGAAAACCAATGGGACCCCAAAAAAGCAAAAAGATGAACAAGGGGAGCTAATTATGGGGAAGATAAATGCAGCAAGTGCACCACCGGAAATTCAGCCAATTGCAAGGTTCCCCTTGTTTCCGGCTTGCAATATGGCCATGGGTCAAAAGCCAAATCGTACCCAGTGAACATCCCAATCCCCACAAACATAGGTTCTAAAATGGGTGGTGAACCTATCCAAAAATGGTACCATTGGTTTTGACCCACAGCCATATCTATGCAGGCAAAGCCCACAGTACTGGTGGGTATTTGGCCAACTTCCAGCATTTTGCTCTGTAGCTGGCTTCCAAGATCCCGGCAATGGACATCTGCTTTCTCAAAATAGGCGTTGGGTTGGTTCAAGGGAGGCCAAAAGGAAGCCTGCCATTTCGAGGCCCCCTTTTCTTTGAGAACCATCCCCACTTCTCGCACGCCAGAATTTCCGAAAGCTGAAGGGGCGCGTGACGCTCTCTGTCGAAGATGTCCCAAATGAAGCAGAAAAGGAGTCTCAAAATGTTCGGCAAGTCTTCATGGAGCTTCCTGTCAGCATTCGCTGATATCCTTAGCTGCCAGGTAAGCTTACATAGAACCAACCCTGGGAACTCCACCCTTTTGAGCGCAGCCCACCAAAAAGAAACAGACAGCCGTGAAATCTATTTATCGGTTGGGCGAAAGCGAGACTCTGGTATCTCGTTGGATGTGTCTTAAAATGAGGGAACCCTTAAGGGTCATGTCCATATGCGACCTTCTGTAAAACTCGATCGACACAAAACGGTTTATAAAACCCGTGTAAGCCAGTGGGACACATCCATTTCCTGCCAAACTATCCCAAAAAGGACGCCTACTGTGGATGGACGAAATCCAATTCGCAGCAGTGTACAAGTAGGGTTTTCATATACCAATTCATTCGCATGGAACCGTTCAACGTTCGGGGAGCCGGTCCTGGTTTGCACCATTTTCTCCTTTTCAACTTGGGACCGGGTCCCGAACGTCTGGTTGCGGCTGCTAATTGGTGGGACCCAGCACGTCCATGTCTTTGGCGACCAAATCTTACTAGTAGGTTCTGACTCTACTTGGGCGACCACAGAAAACTTAGTCTTTGGAAGTATTAGGGGAAGGCATCCTACATGCCGCGAAGTGGATTTCCTCCATTGGCCGAACACGAGTCCGGTCCTGTGCCAGGTAGCATCAGCGAGAGTTTTTCCAAGCGGATTGGAATTTGATCCTGGCGTTGCCGGATGAAAAAACGGGGGAGAAAGGGGGGAGGGTGAGCTTTGAAGGGTTCAGCTTTGAAGGGGTTTTGAAGGGGATAGTCTTGAAGGGGTGAGTTTTGAAGGGGTGAGTGTTTAAGGGTGTAGCATTCGCTTTAAAGGCGATCGATTGGGTCAGTGGCGGGAAACCGGAAACCGCTTATAACTCGGCTGCTTTTTGCTCCCCTGCTAAAAGTTCAAACTTTTAGTGGTTTAATGGAACGCCCATTAGCTTGCAAAAAGTTAAAGTCCTAACATCCAAGCAAAATGCGCCAAAGATAGAATGATAATCCTAAGAGAACCTCCATGGGCCCTTGCGAGGTGTCGCCACGAGAGAGGTCGCTGCGATTTGCCCAGATCTTGCCACACATGCATCCATCCGATTTCTAGGGACGCCGACTCTAGAGGTTGACGAATTTTAGGGCATGGTACAAAAGCCGGGGGTGCAACTCCAAATTCAAACCACCGGGCTCCAAAGGGTTGTTTCTTACTTTTGCGAGAGAAAACAAAACAATGCAAAGGTGATGTCCCCTCGCTTGCACCCACATTTCGAAGCACCGAACTCCTGCTCGCTCAACAAATCCTTGGCTATTCAGCATCCAGAACCACCACCAAGTCATGGATCCATCCAACTAAACAAATCGTCATACGTGCATCGCCGAAAAATGATTCCCTCACGCCCCCAAGCGAATAAAATCTTGGATAGAATAGGATTAGGAACATAAACAGGGATTCTTCTATGCGGTCGTTTGGTCACGGAATCTGCCAACTCCAAACCACTCATTCCAAGAATTCGATCCAAGAGAAGGTGATCACCTGCGCAGCTGCCCAAAGGACCTGCAAATAAAAGGTTAGCCTTTTCGGACCTCTGCTAAAAATAGACCAAAAAGGGAAAACCAAAAGGTCACTTCAGGTCGATTCGCTTTGAACAACTGAGCCTGGAGTCATGGCTAAGTGGAGATTTGGGAAAGGCCGGCAGGTTCGAAGGTCGATGTTCGCTCAACGGGCAACAGCTCGGGACCCAAAAGGAGCGCCCCACGGTGAGCTCTTTTTACGCGCTCGCCTTGGGCCGTGAGCGGTGTCCCCCTCAACACAAAAACAAACAAGAGTGAAATCCCGATACTTGGATGGAACACAGGCCAAGCAAAAACCAAAACATCTCAAACACTAGGGCTACCGCCAAACCGCCAGATTTGTTTCTGTGGGTTTCCTGCGTGACCCATTGGCTCGATCACAAATGGATTCCTTTCGGATGCTACACTCTCGTGTGACTGGAACCTGTTTACTTTGCTGTCCTCAAATACCCCGCGAAAAGCGTAACTCGGGGATCTAGGCACACCCCGTGGTTTGCCGCTTCTGGTTGGATGTGGATGCAACGTGGTTCGGCGAGGCCGGGGTTGATGGCAGAAAACCAACTAGCATGAGCTGTGGTTGAAGCCACCAAGCTGATTGAACAGCCTCCTTCTGGCTTTCCATGGAGCTTGGGGTTGGCTTGGATTTAGAGTGTTTTGGGCGGCTGGGATATTTTGTGTTTTGTTTTTTTTTGGGGGGGTTGGGGGGGGGGGGGGGTTTGGGGGTTTTGTGGGATATCTTTGGCATGAAACCAACTGCTCACAGATCGACGAACCGTCGACCCCCGCTCCGTGGGGAAGCGGCTGTCTCCCGGGTTCTTCATGAGCTTCCGCCGGCACAGCTCCTCGGATCGATCGATGTGGGGCCTAGGAGGGTCAACACCATTGGGCTTTTGGGGGGTGTTCCATGTTTAAGGACAGGGGTGGTCAAGGAAAACAACACCATATGTTTTTGTTTGGGTTTTTGGGGGGTGTTTGATTTTTCGAGACGGAAGGGAAACCAAAAGGAATTGACACATTATTGGAGGATTCTCGATTTTTCGGGGAAAAACACAGGGTGTTGAGCTATAGGGTCTATAAAAGCTTGCCACTTCTAATGGCTTGCTTGATCCCTCAAGCGCAATCTTCATGGGAAAGCATGAAACGTGAGCTGTTCATACCACATCCTCTCCGCGTTGTTGGGGGTGTATTCCCACAAAGTGGGTTGGGACAGAGGAAACTACTGCTTCTACCCTCAGGAAAACAAAAAACAAAAAACCATTTGCATGGCGACAGTTGAGGGTGAAAGGATCCTGGCCACAGTAAAAAACAATGATTGACAATTGAGTGGGATGGTGCAGTTGGAGGTAGGGACAAGGGTGCAACAGTCAAAGGTCAGGAAACAGTGTCGTGGGGAGCGGACAATATGGGTCTGTCTTTTTTGGGTCCTGACCTCCTCGCAAAGCGAAATAATATGACACAAGGATCAGGCAAATGAATCCAAAGTGGAGTCCTCGTGTTGTCTCGAGGGCTAGTAAATTGCAAACTCGGTCTCTGCGTGCACCAAAGTGTGCGGGTTTGAAGAAGCTATTGCCGGATTTTCACTCATGGTTTGCATTGGTCAACCATCGCGACCAGTGACCTTGAAGGCTATCCCAGCGACCCATTTGTAAGTCAAGTGATGTCGAGTGCAAAGGACCCCGTCCGCCTTTCATCAACCCGAGTCAACACGATGACTTGTCACGAAAAATGGAATCGCAGGTGCCAAAAACCGCGTAGTTGCGGCCAAAGTGTCTGTCTCCGCCACGCGGTTGTCAACTGACATCTGCGCAGCGTTGGGTGTCTTAAAGGTTCGACAGCCCAACACTTTCAGCCTTGGGTCAGTATCCGCACATAGCATAGATCCAGAACAAATAACTTCAACTATCTCAATGCCATGGGTGCAACATGGGCCGGATGCCAGAAAGACCATGGGACAATTGAGTCATAATCAAAGCCCGGTATTGAAATGGTCGACCCAGAATGGTTCAATACTTTTGAAGGCGGAGATCAGCTATTTATGGCAAGGGGATTGTCCCACCTTCATCTACCCGGGTTTCGGTTTTCAGCACGTGGCACAAGTGGAGAGCACGAGTTGCGAGTGTGCCATGTGCCGAGCTCACGGACGGGGGGAGAAAACTGGAAAACGGGATTCCGGGAGATGCTTGACCCAACACAGGCGTACGTCAAGGTCCAGTAAAATAGGAGCTTCATTTCTAGGTGTCCTTTTAGGTTGCAAATAGATGGGGCAATCCCTGGTAGATGATGAACCACCAGGCAAACCAGGAATCGAAACCCATCGATTTTTCCACCAAAACAACCAAACAAAACTATGGCCTCAACATTACCCTCCCTTTAAATGGTGGTTTCAAAAAGGGAATCCCCGAAAGCTTTGACACAAGGTCCTCCAGTAGAGAGGTTAGAATCAGGGTACCCACTTTTTCCTGTAGTCTACTTTAGTAGAACCCTCCTCCAAAACCGGGGTGAGAAAGGGCGCTACTGGGGGTCCTAGGACAAGTCTTCACAATGCTCACTTCAGGAACTCAGTCGAGATGCGACAGGCCGCCTGGTGTTGAGGCTGCCACTTCTCTGTCTTTGTTTTTTTTTTCTCTTTCAGGAAGCCAGAAGTGGGCCCAGCCCATTGGGCCCAGCCCATTGGGTTTTCAAGTCTGAAGTCCAAGCCGGGAACTTTTGCCCCACATCCCCTGAAGAACTTCCCCACATCCCCAGCTGAAGCAAATCTTCGAAGCTGGCACGCTGGGCCAATGACACCAGACCAAGATACTGTGGGCGAACAAGCTCAATTAATGGTAGGGATGGTCATGCCAACATGGCTGAGTACAGACTCCAAATTCCCTGCAAGGTGAAAAGGAGTGTATTGCAGAAAGGGTGCTTTCGGTTTGGCGCGCTTAGAATTATGCGCTGACAAAACATGAACTTCTCGAAGCTGTGGACAACTTCATGGTGTTTTGTTGGCACCGAACGAACAACCTTAGAAATTAAGACAACTCTAGATCACCAGCTTGGCATTGTCACACGCTGTAGTAGATATCAAACATGCGGAAAGTGCGCATCCTTTGCGTGTTTTCCCGCTGAACTCCTGTACCAGTTGGTAGGTGGTTTATCCCAGTATTCATAGGTGAGAGGTTAGAATACGGGTACTCTTTTTGCTGTATTAGTCTATGTCAGTAGGGGAACCCTCCCCCAAAAAAGAGTCGGTAAAAGTGCACTACTGGGGGACCTAGGGATGTTTGGTCCACACAGCTCGCACTCGCATCAACATGGCCATGGGTCAAAATCCAAATCGTACCCTCAGTGAACATCCCAATCCCCACTAAAATGGGTTCTAAAATGGGTGGTGAATTCACCTACCAACCAAAATGGGATCCCACGGCTTTGACCCACGGCCACATCGACGCTCCAAAAAGAAATCGGTCCTTGAGCATCGCCACATCGGTGGAGCGGTTCAGAAAGATGGAAATCTGAACCAAGGGGTCGAAGGCTTTGCGGACCTTCTTCAGTCCTCACTGGAGCAGGGATCCGGATGCATTTTACACCTGAACATTGCAACTTGTAAATGATGGTGTTTTTGTATTTTGCTGGAAAAGCAACATGTTTCAAACGGGCAAAAGGTATCTTTTTGTGGAGCCCTGTGGAGATTTCATTGATACCCATGCGGAATTGCAGGAAACTGGACGAGGAGTTCCTTATCATAACTTCCTCTGGCTGGCTTCTTAGCTTGGGACTTCTTCCTTGTCGCCCCATAAGAAAACCAGTTGCACTGATTCCTTCCCGACACAGGCCCATGCGAACTCGCGCCATTTTGTCTCGTTTTCGAGGCTACCCACTTTTGCTTTGGTTTCTTCACCTGAAACCAAAAGGACACCACCAAAAGTTGGGAAAATTGGAGGAATGTTCCCTACAACAAACTGGCAGAATCTCAATCTGGACACTACCTTTAGCGAGGAAGAAGACTTTCGGGGGGGAAACAAAAACACATAATAATAATCTGAAACAGTACCCCGATTAATAAAAACCCTCGGAGGTTGTTTGTATTAGGGGGGACGGTTTATTCTTAGGGGGACCGGATTGGCTGTCATTTGCTTCTCCCCCCCCTGGAAAAATAAAAAAACAACATGCCCAGTAGTGATAGATTCCCTTAAAACCAAAGGGGAAAATATAAAAGCACAACGTATTGAGCAAATGGAAGATAAAGGTGTTTTGTCCTGGTGGCCTTTTAAAACCTCCAAAAAAGGGTACCCTCAAAACGACACCCAAATATGATTTGCCCGCACCAGGATGAGATCCCCAAGCGCGTGGTACCAAGGACTTCTAGCCTACGAAAAGGGTGTCTGGGGCTTTGCTCCATCAAAACCTAAGTCTTGGTCTACCAAAGCCTTATCAAGAGGGCTTTGATCTCCGCACCTATTGGCTAGGTCTTCCAGCAGAGAGGTTAGAATAAGGGTAACCTTTTTCCTGTATATAGCCTAATTTAGTAGGGGCAACCTTCCCAACCAAAAAAGGGGTGAGAAAGGGCACCTAGCTGGGGGACCTAGTCGCACACTGTCCCCACTTTTACCCAACTTTTGGAGGACGCTCCGACTCCTCAGCTCTTGGACTTTGTCTGAGTGGAAGCGGAAGGCTTGATACTTGGCTGCGGACCAATGGTACCATTTTGGGGTAGGTGCACCACCCATTTTAGTCTGTTCTAGTGGGGGTCGGGATGTTCACGCGTGTACGATTTGGGTTTTGAAAAGCGCATGGCCACTTGCGTGAAATCCTAGTTTACAATGCACTCGTTGGACTTACAGCCATGGCTAGCTTATTCCCATGAATACCAACCACTTTTGAAGTAGCCCCCGCAAGTGAACCAACAAAAACCACCAAAACCCCAGAGGAAACAGCTAGTAGTTGAAAAGAACAATGGTTGAAAAGAATGGAAAAGGAATCAAACCCTAGAACCATGGTTGGTAGGTTGTTTGTTCCATGGGCACCAGAACCACTTTTAACGTTTCCTGCCCTTCAACCAACGTCGCATCCATGTCGGCGCCGAACCGCCTCCGTATCCATCCACAAAGTTGGAGCTCACCTCCTTGAAAACCTCGGTTTTAAACGTCGAAACCTCCGGCTGTAATGTTGACCCCGGATTAATAAACCCCTGTTTATTAATATGGGGGTGTCCCTGGTTGCACCAAGCAAACGAAATTAACAGTGCACCGAGCAAGTGTCAGTGGTCTTGCAGGCCGGCCCATTGCACCGAAAAAGCAAAACACGACAAAGGGGTGTTCCTGATTGCTGGTTTTCTAAGGGAAGCTCATTGGAGGCTGTGGGGATGCCCTGAACTGGACTCCTTTTCACAGCGTTCGATTCAATGGACGGTTCCAAACACCGCGCTTTTGGGAGGTGCCCCACAAAGTATGCACCCAAAAAAACTGGAATTCACCCGTATGTATGGCTGTGGGTCAAACATGGGTACCCAAAATGGAACTCTGGTAAATGTGGCGAAAGACTAAAACCTGCGGTCCATTTCCTGGTTAAATTTTGACCCATGCCCATATTGGAATTCACCAAAGTTCCCCTCACACCATTTTGGAGGCTCCACAAAAAGCTTGTCTCCCGCAACGAACTCTATCCAGAAAGTCAGCATGGCGTGCCTTTCTCGAGCGAACAGAACGTTTCCTTAAAATCCATCCGGATATCTCCACCCATGTGGTCATGGGTCAACAGCCAAATTCCACCCCCAGTGAACATCCCAGCTCTAAAATGGGTGGTGCACCTTGCCCAAAATGGTACCATTGGTTTTGACCCACAGCCATCTGTGGTGTGCACTGTATCCTACGATTGTGGCTCCGAAGCCAATTCCTGCAGATTCGGCTTCCTACAACGCTCAACAATATACCCCTTACAACATGATCTCCCAAATCCCGATCCCAACAAAACGCATACGATTGATACCCCGAATATCATAGCAAGCAAATCAACCACACACACAGGTCAATCACAGGCGCTGCATTCGGAAATCCATCGAACGGCAGAGCCGTGTCACGGCCCATGTTGCCGGGGTTGGCAATCTGTTAGGGTAGTCTTGTGGCCACGTTGACACAACAAATGGCATACAAAAGAAAGCCTGCAACCTGCGGATGCAGCTTTCTAAGGTAGTCCTAGAGTCAGAGTTAAAATTTCTGGCTGAGTGGAACCAATTGTTCCTGTTCATCTTTTCTCTTTCCCATGGCTTCCAGAAGGCCATCTTCGGTTGTACGCGGCACGAGGGGGAGGCTTGAACGAACCATATATTTGTCGGATCAAGTTAGAAGACAGCATGATCGCTTGACATTCCCGCGTGTCCAGAGCCAGGAGCTAGGAGCCCGCTTGGGGAGTGAACGGTGAACGGTCTTCGAGGAAACCTGCGGAAAAAAAAAAAAAAACGACCCTACCAGTGGGATCCGCAGCTTTTGACACCTTCCCATGGCGTAGAAAAACAAGGCCCCCCCCCCCTCGCAGGTTCGAAGATGGGCCATGCGATGGCCCTAACGTGTTTGACCCGTGGCGTTTCGTCACCCTGTGGAAAACAAACAATGAGCAGCCCCCACTCTGCAATGGTGTTTCTTGTTGGAGGTAGCTACCATTTCGTGTTGAGAACATATCTTAGGCTCAGGGCAATGGTTCCGAGTATCCACTCTTCTTTTCTGATCGAGATGACGACCCAGACAGAACAAGATGTTTGGGCCTTGGCAAGATTCATGGAGGCGCTTGCCAAGAAAAGTTCTATTTTTGGAAGACGGATCCCATTCAGGGGTTTGGGGGCTGGTCGACCAGCAAAATCACATCTCGAGCAACACAAAGTCCAAACATTAAACTGGGTGACCGACCCCGGCGATGGCTCACTTGGGGAGACGTCACAGGCAACCGAGTCAATACATCTGGAAGTGGGCATTGCGGAAATTACACCTGGTATCGGAATGCATTATCCATGTCACGATTTTTTGAATTTTCACTCAAAGGGATGCTCTTGGTATCACAGAAAGCTGGGCCGTTCAACACGGAGGGTTGGCGAATCCAAATCCATAATCCCTGTAGGAAAATGATGAAAAAAGGGGCCAAATCCTTTTGTCGCCCAAAACAAGGATTTTTTTTCTGGCCTTTGAAGAACCAGGAGAAGCGGTTCTCACTCCCATGTACCGAATCCCAGGCTTCTTCGATTCTTCCTGTGCCATGCGGCGGAGATGGTGGCCAAGAAGGTTCCAAGAGCCAACTCTCCAGAGAGCACCAAGGGGGAGTAGAAGGCCATGTAGCATCCCACCTGAGTGCTGGCTGTGGTGGTCAAAACCGTTTTGAATCGGATCCCATTTTGGTTGGTAGGTGAACATTTTGGGGTAGGTGAATTCACCACCCATTTTAGAACCTATTTTAGTGGTTGGATTGGGATGTTCACGGTACGATTTGGATTTTGACATGGCCATCTACTAAGATCCAGGGATTGAACCAGGTCGCACCACCTCTGGCGCTCACCCGCTGCTTCGGTCACGGGGAACCCCTACTCACTGGATGAACAAAACCCACTTCGCACCTGGGATTGGTGCCATGTTGACCCACCTGGCAAGTGGTGGATCCGAATTATTCTAGGTCCTCCAGTAGAGAGGTTAGAATAAGGGTACCCTTTTTTCGGTAGTCTATTTTAGTAGGGGAAGCCTCCCCCAAAAAAGGGTAAAAGGGCACTACTGGGAGACCTAAAATTGGTGGGGATAACATCTCCACTGGTGCCATGTTGAGCCACAGTATAACCGTGGACAACATCCACTTCGCAGGCTGCTTAGGTAGCTGGTCAACCTGCTTGGCCTCTCTGCTTGCTCAGAATACAAAGGAATACTCCACTTGCTGGAAGGGAATATGGGAATCAGCTGCTTTGGGCTGAGTTTTGTGTCAAGAGAATGACATTGACCCGATGGATGGGTTCTAGCAAATGGCTCCCTTTCGCATACCCCACATGATTGTCTTTTGATGTAGGTTGGAGCCCGTTTGTAGCCCGGTTAGGGTCTCCTCATATAGTCAGGCTGCATGACAACAAATGCACAGCCACCCACATTTTCCAACAGGGCTGTGGGAAATGACCAATTCTGTGATACAACAAAGAGGGCTTTCCAAAGACTAACCGCCCATAAGAGGGAGATTCCCAAAAGCATCACAGAAGTGGTTGGATAAACCCCGAGTGATCAACCACAACCCTGTTCTCCGACAAGTCAGGTTTAAAGGCAGGGGCTGCTGCAACCAGCCCTCCAGTGTTGAGGCAAAGTGCATATGCGGGAGTCACAAAATGATTGAACCCCATGACTGGCTGGTTTTTTCATGAAACAAACACAGTGCAAACCAAACAACAACACCTGGAGGCATTATATACACCCCTAATTTTGAGAAAAACCTTCCGGACATTCCCGGAGCAAACAAAAACAATACACACCTGCAGGACATTCCCAACAAAAGCACCAGGGAAGACCGGTATAATTTTGAGACACGGATCCTTAAAAAGGTGTGAGCCCCTTTGGGTTTGGGCTGGAACTCCAACTGGATCGCCAGAGACCCGCTTTTGCGCTTGGCTTCGGGAGGAGTCAGAAACGACTGGGCATCCGGCGAAGAGGGGGGCCAGCCACTGGAAGAAGAACTCAGAGGTCAAGTCGTACCTTCCGAAGATAGGCGCGAAAAGAGAAGCTGCGTGTAAAATCGGGGGCCAGGAAGCAAGATCCCGTTTTGGTTTCATATTGGGAACCGTCACAGACACACATATGGCAATCTGTAGAAGATAGCCTCACTTCTTGAGTAGATTGGCCCAAAACAATAAAACTTGTTGTTAACACTAAAATTGTCTTTGGATAAAGCATGAAGCCCCGGCACTCAGGGAGAGAGCGACGGTTTGTCACCTGTTTCGGACAATAATGGCTTATATAGAAAAACATAACATCAGCCAGTCAAGATGGGGTATTCCTTTTCCAGTTGTGGAAGTCAACTTGTCACCGTTTCAGCTGAGGACGGGCACACCAACGCAGTTCAGGCACTAGATTACCCGTTCTTCAACAATGGAAAATAACCGAAGGGCTTTGGACGACGATTTTTCGCTTGAACAAACTCCAAACGTCCATTTGCTGTGCGATCTCTCACGGGGAATCCACGCTCTTGGACAGCAAGCTTGGGCCGTTTCCTGCTTGAACATAGTCAAGCACTATTATTCAGCCCACCATCTTGTTGGCTTATGGCTATCATGGCTATCACATGCTATCATCTGGGTGAATTATACTATTTCAGCAGCCTAAAATAAGGTGGCTTGGAGGCTATTCCCCACATAAACCACCATTTGGGGTGAGGTCGTGTGAGGTCGTTATAATTCACCCAGTATCATGGCTGAAACCTATCTTGCAATCCATTGTCACAAGTGAAGCGTCAGGCTGGAGGCATGCTCCTGTGTTGAGTGTTGGTCTAATTTCTTCTAGGTCCTCCAAAGGAGAGGTTAGAATAAGGGTACCAACTTTTTTCTGTGGTGTATTTTAAGGGGAACCCTCCCCCAAAAAAGGGTAAAAGGGCACTACTGGGGGACCTAGTCTTGTATAGATAAAGTCTAGCTTCTTCCCTCCATTCTCCAATGATATATTGTTGCAAATGGACGTCATTTGTGGTCACCCCAAAAAGACGGCGGCGCAAATCGCGAAGCCGTTTCGCCTTCTCAGCGCCACCAAGGACAACCGGACCAATGCAGGATGCCAACTCCACATTTGTATGGAGGAGAATAATAGTAAAAGGTGTCATTCAAAGCACTATTACAGTCACCCGAGTCGTAAGGGAGATGACCCCAGTGCAGCAAAGGTCCTTGTCAGGTTCCGTATATTTCCCTACGCACCCAGCAAAGGAAACGGAGAATCTCACTTGAGCTGGCCAACCACACATTGTCTGACCTATGAACATCATGGAACCTTCCCGGCGGATTTCGACCCTGTGTGGGCCTCAAAGGCCAAACAAATTGTATGGAGGAGTTTATCATGGGGGCTGGGGGAGGGAGGGGAGGGGGAGGGAGCCCGCATAAGCCCTTATTCAGCCCTTAATAAGGCCTCCCTCCCTCCCCCCCCATGAGTTTATACCTATAACCTTCATACTTACATACCGACACCTCAAAAAAGCCAACTTGAACTTTGGCGTATCCTGCGTGGCCCAGCGCCAGCCCGAGTGATTCAAACCTAACGACAAGTTGTTGGAATGCCCGTTTTGCTTTTCGCCTAGTCAAAATTCCTCACATTGTTCTTCCTCTCTTGGCTTCTGTAAAACCCTTCTGCTTGCCCCTGAGCTCGAGGAATCGACACCCTAGTGGCTTCCAACCGCCGCCCCCTTTTCTCCCGGCGGCTTCCAACGAAAGAACCTCAGATTCGCCGAGCTTCGAGGACTCCGGGATCTCCGTCTCTTGCAGCTTGGCGGCTCGGGCTGCAAACCTCGGAGCCGAGCCCGGGCAAGGAACGGACCAGCCGAAATGGAGGGAGAAGAACCCAAGACGCTGGGAGCCAGACAGGGGTCTGAAAAATTGAAAAAAGTGACCCGTCCCCTTTTGTTGTATTTTTCCTGTTGGTAAAAGACAGATGCATGGGCTTAGCACGGAAGGATCCAGCCCTCAACCCATTGAATCAACTCCTCATTCAGAATTGGAACCTGCCGGAATCTGTGGCTCGAGCCTCTCGTGGATAGGCGAAAACGCCTCCCTAGGCAGGCAGCGCACGCCAGCGAGCGGTGGATGTTCCAACAGCTTTCTTGGTAGCCAAAAGTGACGGGACAAATCGGCAGGATGAAGCTGGGCAAAGTAGAATCATTCGCCGGAGGCCTGGAAAGCCCTGCATCGAAAGGAACTTCTATGCCCGCAAGTCACGTCGCCGCTCTTCTCGTCCTTCGGCTCGCAAAGCCAATCCGAGTGGAAGAGGCCCAATGGGAGCACCACAAAACGCAGCCAGCCCAAAGATCCAACGAATTCAGCGAACGCTGGGAGGCCGTGTGCACTCAAAAGATTTGAATCACTCTTGGGCAACACACATCCAAGCCTGTTGGAGACCTGGATTAAAGACTGAGCACTCCGCGAAAAGCAGGGTCCAAGGTCGCCAGGGAAAAGTGAACAGCAACGCCTGAAATCACCGCATAGAATCACCGCATAGCGCTCATTCGCAAGCCTGAGACCTCTGCTCAACCGGCTAAAGCTACCCGTGAACAGGTCAGATACCATCTGCCAGCTTCGTGTTAGAGCCGACCGGCAGAACTCACGCCTTTCCGGGTGAGGCCACAACAGCCTGTGAGTCGCCAGAAATCCAGACTATAGGTCCTCCAGTAGAGAGGCTAGAATAAGGGTACCCTTTTTTCTGTGGTCTATTTTAGTTGGGGAACCCTCCCCCAAAAAAAAGGTAAAAGGGCACCACTGGGGGACCTAGCAGATGCATCTGTCATGGGAAGCCTACATGCAACTCGCGGCACGATGCTCGCCGAGATGCCGATCGTTCATGGCAGGCCGCTGAAAGTAGCAAGCAATCAGCGGATAGTTCTCGCCTTGCGAGCAGTCGGGGCTTGAAGGGAATCGGTCCGCTTTTGGGTGAGTGGGGTTTAAGGGCCCTCCGATTTGATTCTACAACAATCACACACGCCTTGTGGGGGACCCCCACAACACCCCAAAAACACACACCTTGGGAAAGACAAAAAAAAGGTTGGTGTGGAAAGACTGGGGGGTGATGTGGCTTTGGGGTCCAAACAGCAAAGTTCTAAAGGGTGAACTTCCATCACTCGATTCCAGTGGGATTTCCTCTTTTCGGAAAACAAACTCACTCTTCTTGGGGCTCCCCGAACTTTGAGTCAAAATGTTCAGCCAAACACCCACCAAACACATGCTTCATAGTTTGGTGGGTTCATTCGGGTCAGAACCGAGGCCCTGGCTCACAATCCCCACGAAATCCTCCAGCTGCTTCTCGAAGACGTCCGTGCCGTCCGGCTTTGCGACCACCCAGCCCCCCTCTCGCATCAAGGACCTGAGCTGAAAACCGACGACACGTGGACGATTCCATTGGCAAAACGTACAGGCACCTTCTGTGCGCGTGTCCAACCTCCTCCCAAAGCCAAGAAAAACCGCAAAAGCTGCTGCCAGTGGGCAACTAGGCGGTTGGCATGCTCCTTTGCTTCAAGGGCTTGACAGTTGCTGGGCCTTCGCAAAGGTCAGCTGGGAAAGAAAGCTCGAGAACCTGAAATAAGAATCGGAAGCAAACGACCTACACGGTGACCTCGTTTGAGCCCCCAAGCTCGCAATCAAATAGGTGCCATCGGAGTTACCCAGAGCTACAAGGGTGTTGATAGGGGATAAGCAGGGATTTTCTGCGGAGACCAGGGTCTGGTCGCCCCGCCCCGCACTCGAAAACACTCTGCTGAAGAGCCGCCGACCTGCGTCCTGCCCCGCATTAAGTATGCCAAACAAATATTGTGGGGGTTGGAAAGAAGCTCCCACCAAACAAACACATAAAAGGGGAGAAAGGGGAGGACTAGAAACTATACTTCTCCATGTGACGATTCCTCTCCAACAACCATTATGTGTTTGTTCCAAACATCAAGGTGTTCAAGAATAAACAAGTTATATATGTTGATTGTTTCTGTGTTCTTTAAATTATGCTTTGTTTTGTTTAATATTGATTACAATCACCTCACCATACTCTTCAGCTTCCTTCCATATTCTAGTCGCTTCTGCCCTGTATAGTCCCCTATGCTTGTCATGACATGTGTTTCTGCGACCAACAAATGTATTGCAGTAGTTGTTCTCCCCGACAAACTCTTCAGTCCTCAACGGCCTAAGACTTGGAGCAATGCCGCTTACGGTGCTTGTTTGTTGCTGATTTGTGTCTTTTTTGTTGGGGGGATGAATTAATACTATTCTATGGCTCGTCCTTAGACTGGTTTTAGGACTAGAAAGATTAACGTAGCATGTATACAAAGAACACTCAAATTACAAAGAACGTAGCATGTATACATGGGCGATAAGAACGGAACAATACCCACACAGGATTGCATATATTGTTGTTGTACCATTATTCATAGTCAAACACATAACGAAACATAACGCGGGCTCCCAAAAATGGATAGTGAGCCCGTCTCAGGTTGTAGCTTATGTTGTAATCCAACCACCCCCCCCCCCCCCAGGTCCCGGTGGTGCCTGGCAAAAGTAGAAAACATTCGCCATCAAACAATTTGAGCATGCCACGAATTGAAGCGGATGCGGCCCCGTTGCCACTTGACTGATTCTTGGACAAAAGGGTCTACTGATAATGGGGTGATGACAAGTATGTTTTTCTTTTAATGGTCCCAATGAGACTCCAGGTGCTTCTTCGCTCTCGGATGAAGAAACATCGAAGCCACAGGACAACCAAAACATCAGGTACATGTGGCTCAAAACTCCAGAGCTAGGGTATAGACTTTAGTCGACGGTTCCCTTGATGTGGTACATTTGTTTGAGCCGCAGCAATGTGAGCCACGGTCAAACTTACCTATTTCCCCAAGAGGACATGGGAAACTTAGTGAGTCCCTTTGCCATTTGCCCAAATTGGACCGTAAACGTCTTGACCAAACCTCATCTCCCGTTTGCGTCGGGCCGGCTGAACAGCTAGTTCCTGTCAAGCTGCCAGAAGATCATGGCCACAGGCATGGTAATCTCAGGCAGATCGACAACGGAATTCAGGCTTCCAGCATGTTCCCTCTAAACGTCACCCCAAAAGGAAACTCATAACACGGCGCGCATAAAAGAAACTTTCACCGTTTCACCCACCCTTCAACATCTCTAAAGTTGATGTTTGAATCACCCAACAACAAGCACACATCATATAAGGACCCCTGAAGTTGACTGTAAGGGAACCTGAGCTTGCATCAGTCTCTGAACACGACAAGTCCTAGTTCATTTCGCTTTGTGCTCGGTGCGCTGGAATCGAAGCTGATTTCTGGCGTGAAACACGCAGCCACAAGTCTGCGGCATGAGTCTGAGGGCCCCACCGAATTGTTGTGGAATCCGTTTAGGGAACCCATACCCTTGTTGGGCAAGATACGAACTATACATCCAACAAAGGGGTCTGCCCACAACAATGCGAAGATTGAAAAAGGGCTGGCTAGGACTGCGTCTTCCTGAGCTTCACTTATCCGGAGGTTGAGCGGCTCATCTGGAGCCTGTGGGCTGACCTTTCTGAGCTTGGTCAGAAAAAGCTGAGACGCTCGGTGAATTAACGGACAGTGCCAACGCAAACTGAACTAAGCGCCCAATGAGTTGAACTATATGGGCTTGCCTTGCGCACGCTTTGAGCATGGGGAAGAACCAAGCAACTTTAAGTTCGATCCGTTTCTGCGCGCGCCCCAACCAACTGAGCAACCTGGTGACTGGCCCAGTGCCTTTTAGGTCTTTGCACTTGCCCTAGACCGGACACATGTTTGGGTTACCCCAAACACATCCGTTTCCAGCATGCCTGCCCCTGATCAAGCGGCGCTGACATCCAATTTGAGCAGCAACAAATACCCATTGAAGCAGTTCTACCCGCAAAGGATTCGAGTGGGTCTCACCATCCCAATCCAAACAGTCAATCCTAAATGGGTCAACAGGAGAGTTCAACAAGCCAAACCAGAACCAGAATCATAAACAGAACCATCATTGTTGTCATCGCCGCCATCATCATCGTCATCCTCATCCTCATCCTCATCCTCATCATCATCATCATCATCATCATCATCATCATCATCATCATCATCATCATCATCCTCATCCTCATCCTCATCCTCATCCTCATCATCATCATCATCATCATCATCATCATCATCCTCATCACACCATCATCATGGTCATCGCAACTTTACCAGCCGACTATAAATGAACAGAACAGCAACAAAAGAAAACACACACTTCGTGATCCGAGCGGCCACCGCCCAGGTCATGTCGGGATTGTTGGAGACCTGAACGATCCACGATGGCCGGCTTCCGGCCGTCCGGTTCCCGACTTCGCGGTCAAGAATGCGGCTCCTTTAGGCCCCATGCTGGTCTGCTGTGGCTTTTCACTTCGCCATCAGAACATCTCAAGGTCAAGATCAATAGTCTGGCGATTCCCTTCCCAGGCTATGGAAGCTGCTGATGGAAGGCGGCTTGAAGCGCGAAGACTCGAGATGAAGCAATCCACCTGAATCCATAAGCTCTTAGTCCAGCATGGAAAGACAGAAGCCACAAGCCATGATTTCCCGTAATGGACATGGACATTTGAAAGCTCTCCAGGTTCTTGTGGGAAACATAGCTCGTGCCCCATGTGCAAGCCGCCCAGGTTGGAACGATCAAATCCGCTTGCTGGCCGGAAGTGCCCTTTTGAGGAAGCAACACAAACTATGTCAAGTCCGGCTTCTTGGTTTGCCACCAAGCTGGTATCCCCAAAAATTATCACAGCAACTCAAGCAGTGATACTACCAACTCCTGCCTTGGTCACCTGGCCCATCAACCCTCAAAACAACACACAACTTACGCTGTTACTTGGCCCCGGACCCAGCCTTAAGCAATTCCACAGAACATGACAAGTTGGTAAAACAAAGACTCTTTACCATGGAACCGCGTCACGAGCTTGCAGAATCTGCAGGCATCTGGCAGTCTCCAAATGGAGACCCCACCCCAAAGATGGGCATGGTTTCCCCTGAATAACAATCCAGCCACCACCCCCACCCCCATTCGCAGACAAAGCGGCGGCAAAGTAGTTCAACATCACCAGCTTGCCCAGCGTCTCCCACCTCAAGTTGACAAACCCGTTCTCGGTTTGTGGTTTTCGCGGAAGGAAAACGAGAGCGAGAGACAGAGCAAAACAGAAGGAAAAAAAGACAGAGAGACAGGATAAAACCAGTACGCAGGATTACACGGGAACGCAATTAAACATATATTGAATTCAGGGTTCCCCAAATAGGACACGAGCACATGTAACCCCCGTTCAAAGAAACACCGTTCACCGGTTCAAAAGCGGGGAAGCGCATCCTCTCACATCCCAATTGCCCGCACGAGAAACGCGAAACTGTCGGCAAGTGACTTGGACCAAACCTGGACACCAAAACCTAAGTCGGTAGGTACTTAAGCCTGGCGGGCCATTGCGCTTTGCGCTGGAGACGGATGTCACATGCCCACATTTCTCTTCAGCTGCCTATGGCATGGCCGCACAAAAGTGGCAGCTTCAAGATATTTGCAGAAATCGAGATGTGTGCTCACAAGCGGTGCAAACTGTTCAAGCGGGCCAACCTCATGCTTCTTCACAGCAACCCTTATAAAGATTGTCTAAAATACTCAAGGGAGTGATGATCATCCGCGCCAAGAGGTAAAAGGATATCTTGGGCCATGGCAGAATCGGCCGACGCCTCAGGCCCTTCCCTTGAAACAAGCAAGTAACTATGCGGCTCTCCTGTTGCCGCTGGGACAAGTTTGGCATCTGCCAAACGTCAAAACAATCCAGACGCCCCAAGGCAAACCTGATTTGCGGTGGGGTAAAGGGCCTTGCTCTTGTTGAGGGCACCCTGTTCAGGTTGCCTTGAAGGAAAACAACAAGAACAAACTCCTGTTGGGGGGGGAAACCCCAAATTCCCAATTTTGACGACGCCAAGGTCTTGGGCTGCTGTGTCAAAAAGCTAGGTCCTCCAGTAGAGAGGTTAGAATAAGGGTACCAACTTTTTTTTCGGTAGTCTATTTTAGCAGGGGAAGCGAATCTCCCAACCAAAAAAGGGGAGAGAAGGGCACCTAGCTGCGAGACCTAGAAAGGGGGGACCTTGACCATGGCTGGTGCTGTCTTGCCAACGTTGCCAGAAGGTTCAGCAGGATGGCTTAGGCTCCGGGGGGGTGAGGGATGAGCCGACACCGGATGCAACAAAAACGCGACCATGGCAAACAACAACAACAGAATGGGGATACCAGCAGTATACATATCATATATATATATATAGTACGGTTTTGTTTCGAGGGTACCCACGCTTTCCATGTTGAAGGGAAACCGAAAGGAAGCCCACGCGGGTCTCCGTATCTTGACAAATACTCCCTTTGGGAAAATGAATGGGCCTGGTAGATGAGTAACAACCAGGTCAAGCAGGAATCCGTCGATTTTCTACCAAAACAAACAAAATCGACACATACTTGGATGGACAAAAACCATTTCGCACCACCTAAAAACCCTGGAATGAGTCGATTCCCCTATAAATACCAACAAAGAGTGGCGTTTTTCATGGCTTCAAGTGCTGCGAACGGATTTTGTCTACGCACAGTATGGTTCTGAGTCTTGCCTCTTGTCATCTTGCGGCCCAGAAGCAGACTCGACACGTCACTGATGCTTCTGGCCTCAGATCGGTCCCTTTGCCAGGAAGGAAAACGGTTCCACAAAAGCCCTGGAACCATGACAGCGTCGGGAGGTCGCTATGAGTTGCCCTTTTTGTTTTTGTTTACTGAGCAATCAACTGGTTCAAGGCCCATGGAAACAACTGACTCAGTCCGGAAACCCGCCCCTGGCAGTTTTCACTGCTGGTCATCAGACATGTGAAGCTGTTTCTGCCGCCAAAACCGTGTTTGTCCCCATGAGAAACCAATCCTGCCTGGTGATCTCATTGAAACCTGTGCCTGACACCTGTTCTTTTGGGCAGCTATTTCTCAAAAACAAAAAGGACCAGAGGTCACCACTGGGTGTTTAGGGCAATGGCCCTAGCAAACCGGGTACATGAGCTCCCTTTGCCCCCGTTCTTGGAGTCATCGGCACTTATCGGATTGGAGCCCGAGATCGCAGCCAGCTTGGCCGAGTCTTGAGTGATGAAGCGAACCACCTCCGCCTGCGTCACTTCCTGGGCTCGCGGAGATCAACTCACCACGCCTTTGAACCAATCCTAAGGTTTAGGGCTTAAAGTGCATTTTTCAAAGGCTTGGAGGGTTGATCTGTTGAGCTTTCAACCAGTTGCTAACCAATTCTGAATACTGCCCGAGCTCAAGATCTGCACCTGGTGTTTCTTGCTTGACTCTTTCAACATGCCAACCATTTCGCGCATGTGACCTTAAATGGGTGGAGGGTCGGCAAATCAGTTTCCTCTCTAAAGTCCCTCTCAGGTGCCACGTTAATCGAAGGGAGGGTACACTTTTGTGGGTTGCACATCCAAATCCGTAAGGTTTGACCGAGTCTTCGCCGTGGCAATGGAAGAAACAGGACACCCTTTGTGCGCTTCTCGCTGCTCGCTGGGAAAACGGGATGTACTCATGCTTTATGGCAAAGTTTGTTTCTCCCCAAAAAAGGGAATACTGGAGTTGTTGTGATCCCAAGCCCTATGAATCCCTTATGTCTCACAATACCGCGGCCAAACAGTTGACCCGGGCGACAAAAACACGCCCAGACCCAGACCCACACCTTCGGTGAGCTCGCTCGCCCCCAGTCGATCCCTGTCAGCTTTAAGGGCGCAAGAGCTGCACAAAGCCAAGGCGCGCTGCGTGAGGTGTCGCTGTAGTTCCTTGGTATGTCACCATTTGTGAATGCCCAAAGGCGTGGAAAAAAAAAGCGTGAGTGAAGGGAATTCAAGATGACACATCCTCTTGGACTCTCCAAAGGTTAGAAGCGTCAGAATCACATAATCACATAATCACCGTGCCTGTCAGAAAAAGACCGCCCCACAAGCCACAAGGTGACCCCAAGCTCACTCTTCGCTTAAGGCTTGCCTGAAATTCTGAAACCAGCCAATGGCATCGGTGTCTTTTTTTCAAGACCAACAGGATTCCTGAACACGGCCAAAAACCACCTGCTTTGCCAGGGAATCCTCTAAATCAGTTGGTGTTTGGGTGATTTCTTAGGCCGTCTGGGTTGCACAGAGAAACATAGTGTCCAGATTTTGTTTCATATGGGTGCGGGTCAAAATTAAACGGCCGGGGTTACTCTGTCTTAAATCTACCTTTCCATTTGCCAGGGTTCCATTCTGGACCCATATTTTTGAGCCACACCCTCATTAGTCTACCCTGAGGTATCCAACATGCTCGGAGGAGCCCGTAGCCAAGGTATCTTGACCCAAGCCCACCGACAGCGGCCTTTCTTTCGGCCAAGCGTCATGTACTTCCTGGCGGCCAGCCCACAGGGGTAATCTTCTTTGACATTAGAACCATCTTGTTTGCCATCTAGGTCCTCCAGTAGGTCACGTAGAATAAGGGTACCCGATTCTTTTTTCCGTAGTCTATCTTAGTAGGGGAACCCTCCCCCAAAAAGGGTAAAAGGGCACTACTGGGGGACCTAGCCATTAACAAGCGCTGCTTGTTTTTTTTTGACATTAGGGCATTTCTTCTTGACATTCTTACATGTCAACAAACATGGAGCCCTCAAGCCACACTCCAAACAGTTCGAGGTCAACACACCCAACACAATGTTGACCCCATATCAATCAACCACAGTTCATTCAAGGGGGGGTGTTCCGCTCCAAAGGTGGTTTGATTCCCCACTAAACCCAGGGACACCCCCAAATGGAAAAAACAACTTGGATTTATTGACAAGTTGGGATGGATGAAACGCGATTTGAATAATGAGATGAACCATCTACAAACTGGTGCAGGACTTCCATCCTGAACTGTGTCTGGGTCTATGTTCATTTTTCAGGGTACCCTCTCCACCTTGCTTCAGGATACCATGAGGAACAACCACCAATTTCGGAGTTTCCCTATTCTGACACGCGAATATGAGTAAATTGTTGCCTGGTTCCTTGAGGCAGCCTTTATGTATCAGTCCAAAATCCTCGGTCCATGACCAACGCCAAATGAAAGGGTGCCTGACACATATGAACCTGTCACGGCTTCCTCAAGAGCACCCCTGATCAATGCATAAAAACCTTACAGTGTTGATGACTGTCCCTGTGCACGCGCAGAAAACACTGCAGCCGCAGAGCCCAGTGTTCGGACCGTTTGGCACTCTCCAAGACCGGGACCCTCGAGCACTCTCCACTTCGGGCAAGGCAGAGTGTGCGCAGAAAAAAGTGTGGTCGAAAAAAGTGGGGGCTTCGTGGGGATGTGTCAAGAGTTCCCAAAGGAACTGTTACAGTTGTACGTCTCATTCTAGAGTCATTGTCTTCAGACAATATTGCAAAACAAAACAGGAAACATGCGCAATGTTGAGCAACATCGTGATTTCCTTTTCATCTCTACTCTTGGTATGGTAGCGAAAAACCATGTTTTTTGCAGACCCCCTGTAAACATGAACAGAACCAAACAACAACAAAATCCAAAAACATGCCAAGAACAGTGAAGTTCTAATTCCATTTAAAAAATATCAACCAAAATGGGGGTCCCCCGTTTTGAGAACAACTCCTTCGGGGGCCGCCTCATCATGCTGCTCTGCAAGAACAGCTTGCACCGGCCGTTTAAGTCCATCTTGATCTTCACCACCTCAGCCGCTCAGCCCGGCTTCCCAGCATGTGTTTAGGGTTGGTTTCGGGTGTAGGGTTGGTTTCGGGTGTAGGGTTGGTTTCGGGTGTAGGGTTGGTTTAGGGTTTAGGGTTTAGGGTTTAGGGTTGTGCTTCCGCTCAGTTCCCGCAGTTTATGTTTTTTTGTTGCCAAGTGGCCTCAAGGCCGGCGGAAGACCAATGCCAAGTTCCAGTGCCATGAGTTTGAAACACGACTTGTCGACACTGTTCGACCAGCTGCATGCGGTCGGCGTATAGCGGAGCATACAAATCCCTCTACACGAAGTTCAGGCCCTATGCGGCCTCAAACGCCATGAGCACCAGATGAATCACATCCAACGCGTCCCCAACTTCGCAGCCCTCAGCAGGTTGCGGCTGTGACATCTTACTTCAACTTCCGCGCGGGCTACGCCTTTCTCAGCATTGAGCTGGCAAGAAAGCAAGCTGAGATTCTCACTACAGTCCCTTTCGCAGCCCGAAGGCTCATGCCAATCGTTCATAGACTCCACCCCCTAACCATCAATTCCCCGCCCCCCCCCCCACCCACCCCACCCACCCCACGCTGGCTTCCTCCAAGAAAAGGCTTGAGCACGGTTTGTCGAGCTATGACTCGTGGCCGCTTCAACCTTTTCCAAGGCCCGGTGTCAGGAAGGAAGGCTATGCTGAGACTTCAGCATCCCACATCCAAAACGCCCTGCGTCGTCTCTTTGAGCCCGACCCAGTGTTCCTTTGCCACAGACCTTTGCCTAAAACAGCTCGGTGTGCCAGCTTCTACAACAGTTTGCTAGCTCGTTTCTGGAATTTGTTGCTTTAGGATACACTGCGAGCCTATGTTGCCTCGCTGATGTTTGGTTGACCCGTGTGTGTTTGGAACGATGGCCAAACCAAGTCAACCGGATTTCCCGTTGCTAGTGACATGTTCCCAACATATTTCCACACCAGACCTTCTGTTAACAAGGAAAACAACTAGAAACCCTCCAGCAGCCTCAGAAACGGCAGCTGGATTTTGAAAAGAACGATGGTTGAAAAGAATGGGGAATCAACCCCTAGATTGCATGTTGGCCATGTGGTGATTGTCCCCCATTTCCCCTTGGTTCGCAGGAAGTACCAGGGGCTCCCACAGTTTTCTCAAGGAGAGGTGACCTTGAACGCAAAGACCTGGGTGAGGTGTCCTGGGTTTTTGATGGTTTCCTGAAAAGAAGGATCCCTGAAGGGAAGGTACCCCAAGATGTAAAGTGTAAATCTCTGCTATTTGCGGAGAAAATGTGGACGGGAAGCTCGCGCATTCGGCGCGCTTGCGTCAAAACCTCCAGTCAAGTTCGATTGCGGGGTGACCCCCCCCGGTTGCATATGATTGCATAGAATACAATATTTGTATCTACTTGAACTGTATTCGACTGTCAGCCTGATTCTAGTCACCTGTAACTTGCGCAACTTATGATGGTTGTGGAAAACAAACTCTTCTGTAATGCCCAAATGGGACTCCCATGACTTCGTAGTTCATCACTCCAAAGGGGGTCCCTTGTATCGCAAAAAGTGGCAGGAAAACCAAACTTCCCACAATCATGACGAAAACACACAACGTAGAAGAGAGCTATCGTCTCAACATTGCCACTGCATGACATCTGCGCCTTTCCGCGTTTACTGGATATGTTTTTATCACCGCCATGAAACTGCCCTCGAATGGGGGCTCATCTAAAAATTGGGGATCCCCCAAGATGGTTGGCGTCCTTTTCGTTGCCCTCCTAACCAACCCAAAACGAGCACCCTCGAAAAGACAAAAAAAAAAAAACGAACTCTACCCCGACCGATTTGTCAGTCGGCTAAAGCCACTCAGGCTCCCGACCTTCCACAAATGAAGCAGCAGGGGGAAGCTGACGTACATTAGGCCTCCGAAAAGTCGTCCCGTCGATGCCAGACATGGTCTATCCCAAGCAGGTTATCATACACAGTAGCTGCAAATAGGAAAATATATTTTTTGCTTGGCCGCAACAAAAACAAGCTGAGAACAAGAACCGTGAGCCTGAAATCGAGACGAGTCGGGAAGAATTAACATTTGGAGACAGTGGAAGGACGGCGCCCGATGAATCTTCACACACACACACGCACAGCATTCTCATTTAGGGATTCCATGATCTTGTTTTTCAGAAACACTCGAATCATTGAATTGAACATATTGATACACAAATTATTGATACTGGACAACATCCACTTCGCACCAGTTGGTAGGTGGCTTATCCCAGGATTCATAGGCATCAATTCCAAGTGTTGAAGGAATTTGACCATCCACAGTAGTGCGAGCCGCAGTTTCTGTCTTTCCTCAGTAGAATGTGCAACAACCAATTAGCAATTGTGTCTAGGGGCTATGGGGGGGGTGGGCTAGACAAGACCAGGAAAGAAAACCATAGAGCTCCTTGGAGACTCACGAACGTAGAAGGGAGAAGCCATCCTCTCAACATGAGCAGTGCATGAGACCTGCGCGTTGCCAGGCTGACTCAAGCAGAGGTGCAAAACTGACACAGAAGATATCCCACGTGCATATGCGTAGTACGTACTGAGCCACTTCGCATTGAACGCCCTGTAAGTTGGTGAGTACCCATTTTCGTGGGTCGGATGGCACTCCCCTGTCGTTGAAACACACTGCGGTAAACATTGACACTTCTACTGTCAAATCCCGTTGATCCAAATCTTCAAGGGTTTCCAGCCCAAATCACTGCCTCCGGAACTGGAATCGAATCGGGCATATGATCTTTAACTCACTTGAGTGGATTGGCCAAACACAGCCTGAACTTGTTATTTACCAACAAAATGGTCTTCCCAAAAAGTTTAAAGTCCAGGAACTCAGGAAGTGAGTTATGGTCATCGGGCATGTTCCCCCAGACCCCTCGAACAGTTCTTAGGTGGCAACGGCTAGGGCATGGACCAGTTTGGAATCCGAGAAGATTTGTGGGCCAGTCCGCAGATGCTTGGTCCCTTCAAACCCCTAAACTCATAGTTCAAACTGGTCATGATTATCTTGATTCGACTTAGGCCCAGTGTTATTATTGTTGCTTCACGTTGAGTCACTTGAAAAATGACAAACATCCTAAGTCTACCCCAGTTTAGAGTCCTTTAAAGAATCTGCACATTTTGCAATATGTCCAAAACCTGAAATATGGAATCCCCGAGTAAAGGATCTGCACCATGGCTTTTGCTCGTTTTACCCCCGAATCGGTGACCTCGCCATACGAAAATGGCAGAAGAATAGTCTTCCCAGTGGTGGGAGCCTTTGGCCGATGCAAGGAGTCAACTTGCTGGTGCTGGGAATGAGAAATGGAATGACCCCCAGAAAAACCATCCCATTTCCGATATGGCCATGGGTCAAAAGCCAAATCGTACCCCCAGTGAACATCCCAATCCCCACTAAAATAGGTTCTAACACGGGTGGTGAATTCACCTACCAACCAAAATGGTATCCAAAAACGGGTTTTGACCACCACAGTCGTATGCTTAAAAACCCTGCATTCCGATAAGGCCTTTTTTTTCAAGGGAATCCCCAAAATCGCTTCCTTCCACGTCTCAAACCCCCCGCCCGTCGCAAGAAAAAACCTCGGATTCGGCTTCGGAGTCTTTCCGAGGCGCCGATCACCTGCGCCGTCTTCGCGGGATCGTCGGGGATCAGCAGCTCCTATGCCCACGGAGCCGGGCAGCGTCTGCGATAGAATAAGTTGGTACCAACCTTTTTCGGTTTTGTCTGTTCTAGTAGGGGGAGCCTCCAAGGTCAAAGGGCACTACTGGGGGACCTAGTTGTTGTGTGGTTTTAAAGGAAGACTACGAGGAAAGCCGCAATTTTGGTCACCCAAAATTGCAACAGCCCAAACCCAAAGATGTGTGTGTGTGTGTGTCAAAACAATGAGGGACAGTGCAAATGGCTCGTTTCCGGCAGATTTCCCTAAAAAGCAGTCAAATGGTACAGCCTCCAAAGCAGAATACTTATTTCAGAGGGGGGATCATTTTTAGGGAACAAAGATCAAACTTGAAATCTTTCAAGAGGCTTCGTTGAAGCTGCCTTTGACTCGAAATAGGTTTAGAGTCTGGTCCATTCAGTCCTTTACCTGCTTTCAAATCATGAAAGGGCCTCATGGAGCTCCGTATCGATTCAGGGAAAAATGCGGGGCATATACCCTTGACATAGTTCCATTAAACCCCCGGGTTGTGGAGTCTCAGAAGTCAGTGAGGTGCAGCTCCCATGTCTTCACTCAAGGGAACTTGGTTGCATGGTACATAAGACATACTTCAGTGAGGTGCTAGGGGGTTCCGGAAAAAAGAAAACAACAACACATCGTCCCTGTTTGGTTTCCTTTCCCCGAAATCAAGAATCATGGGCTATTGAGCACCCAATTAGGGGCCAACTGCGCCAATGGCTGAACACATCTTTTCCCGTAACCCCAATACAACAAGCTAGCAGCATCATTTACTACAAGTAAGATGGTCAATAGGAATCAGTCTTGACCCCACCGCATGTGAGCTCACGTTTTGTTCAGAAGACCCTTTTGGTACAACCCAAATGATGCAATCCTAAAGGGCCCTTGGGAAACCATTTTGAATACGCAAATTGGAAATGGGCATGTGTCAAAATAAGGGTACCCGAAAAAGCACAAATATGGATTAAAAAAAAAAAAAACAATCGGAGTGGTATCTTTTGGTTTCCTTTGTAACAACAACAAAGCTGATTCCAAAAAAACACATCCAGAAACCAAAAACAAAAAAACACCTAAAAACCACGCGCCCCTTTTCAGAAGACGCAGGTCTTCAACTTCTTGGCCGCAGCGAAGACCGCGGAGCGCGCCACCGTCGGGCCGCTCGAAGTGGACTTCGAATTCGGCGCCGGACGCTTCAAGGCACCAAAGGCGCGGGGGTTGGCGGTCTCATTGCGGTGCTCGCGCCTCACGAAAAGATGTTGGGGCGGTTGTTCAAATCCCCTGAAAATTGAATCAGCTGTAGTGGGTGAAATGGAAATTTCCACCGAACCCTAAAAGAAAAGTGAAAGATCTGCTAAAAATGAATAACAAATTGGCTCTCCGTTTCAGATCTGCTAGAAGTGAAAAACTTCTGGGTCCCTAAGGGGCAACTGAGAGAACCTTATGATCAACGGACCTTGTCTACCAGAGTTTCGGTACTGGGTTAATGTCTTAGGCTTCAAGGTTCCCAGCGGCTGGGAAAATATGGTCGGGTATGCATGAGTGTCTTGTTTTGTTGAGGGCTCCCTTTTCGGCATCGATTTTGAAAGGAGGTTTAAAAGGAACCACCCAGTTTTTTTAGGAAACAAGTAGGACACGCATTTGTTTTGTTTGAACTTACGAATATATGTAGATGCTCGGCCCCCCCTGTGATCTACCTTTTCTGTGTCATGTGTACATCTGCGGGCAGCTGGTTTATGTTGGTGCCTTTGGGGTTCCGAACTGGCTTCCATGGAAAGTGACCCCAGGAAGGAGTGGTTTCAAGGGGACCGAACAAAAGGGTGCGGTACCGCGTTTCATGTTTTGGGGGGATGAGCAACAACTAAATCATATGTAAGCACGATTGGACTCTTCCCAAAGCATGCAAGGGCATTTAATAAAGACATTACTCATTTCAGAGTATACCCATTTTTGTAACAACAAACAAATCCCTGAAACAAGTCGTTGGTTTCAGCCCCAAACTTTGATATTTGGTTCTCAAAAGATGGGCATTAAGTAGAATCTAATGAGCCGAATGGATTATTTTTTGGGGCTATAGATGTGATATAACACGTTCAAAGGTGACATTGAATTGTTTGGCTTGCAAATGGCACCTGACACAATGTGACATACACTTGCTGTGTGCCCGCAGATGTACACATGACACAGAAAAAGTAGATCACAGGGGGGGCCGAGCATCTACATAGATTCGTATAATATTTCTGGCGTCCGACTTGTTTCCTACAAAAAATGGGTGTCCTTTTTTTTGTCTCCTTTTAAACCGATCCCACAAAGGGAGCCCTCAACAACAAGACACTCATGCATACCCGACAGTACCCAGAAGCCGCTGTGGACCTTGAAGCTTAAGACATCAACGTAGCGAAACCCTGGTAGACAAGGTCCGTTGATCAAAAGGTTCTCTCAGTTGCCCGCATTGGACCCAGGACTCAAGGTGATCACCTTTTGGCACCTCTAAAGATGGACTAACATGGGAAAACCAAAAGGTCAAAAGGTCGATTCGCTTTGGACAACTGAGTTCTGTCCGACCGAGAACCCCGAACTTTCAAGCTGGCTGGCCATTCTCTTTCCTCAAGCAACAATAACTAAAAGAAACAATACCACCAAAAACGAGAGACGCATTTAAGCGCTCAGAATATGGCTATGGTGTCCCTTTACCCTGCCGTTAGCAGCAACAAGAACAGCTAGGAGCTGGAATGCTTGGAAAAAGAAAGCAAGACACAAATCCAACCATGCAAATCATTCACCAAACGGGCGCGAATCAACATGTATAATTCAGGAGTGTATGCCCTTTAATCATCATCCCATGTTAATATTAAGGACGCTCGCTTTAATTTGCCTTGCTTGAAACCAATGGGGAACTGCAGAGTCCGGCTACCCCCAGACCACCAACAGGTGCACTTTGATGGTTTGACGCAAGTTGTCAAAGGGCCTGATGTGTTTTTAGAGGTAAACCATGTTTGCTATGGCAAAACCGACAAAACGTTAGCATACTTAGCAGACTTCAATTTACAAGCTTCAATTTGCTTGGCCTGCGTGGTGCATCACATTTCCGGTTGTGTTAAACCAAACTTGTGCTACCGCAACTCAGCGTGATCTATCAGCCACAATCAGTTGGCACTCAACACTCACTAGTTTGTCACTCTACCCTGAAGGTGTTGCGCCCAACACTGAAAAGAGGGAAACCACTGGTCCTGGTGTAACATGGGACATACTGGAGGCCCCTGCAAGTTAGCTTTCCTTTGAAAGACATTTGGTGGGTCCGGACATCTTGTGGAGTTCCATCTGGGCAAGTTACTACAACACAAACCAGCCAAGCAGCCAGGTGGGCATGTAGTGCGGCTCCTGGCGGGGTTGCAATTCCTTTGACTCCGCTTGAAAGGGGATTGTTGGGGTATGGAAAGCGGCCAAATAGGCCAAAGGTGCGCATGAACCCATCCCGAAGTGGGTTTCATGGTACTCCAGGCACCTCTGATCTCAAGTCTTGGGCTCTTTCAACTTGTGTCCGTTGGACAACTGTTGCTTCAACCAGGCACCGGCCCGCTTCAACGGAAAACCACCAGGCCATAGTAGAACAACCATGAACATGATTCATGTGTTGTTGGGTCTGGTCCATATTTAGTGAACCCTACAATGCAACATCAAAGATGCAGTAAAGTATTGCTTTGCGACAGAATAACTAGGACACCAACTTGATCCCCCCCCCCACTTGGATCCCATCCAAACCTGGCAGTCAAGTAAGGCATCTACTGCGACCCCCACCAAAAGGATGTCCACCAAAGGCTCCCCAAATGCGTCTTACTTGTGGTTATCAGCTGTCCGGTTCCCTACAGTTTGGTTGCGAAGACCCTATGAGCAAAATTGAATGGGAACATTCGTGCCAGCAAAGATGGAACAAAAACAACAAATACCAATGTCTGGCGAAAAGAAAACGAAACGGGCTTCAAGTAAAAGTCAAATCTCCAAACAAACTGGATTCTATGAACCAACAAGCTTTCACCTTTATTTTGCTTACAACAAAACGAGAGATCTTTACCATCCTTAAACTAGGTCCTCCAGTAGAAAGGTTAGAATAAGTTGTGTTCCCCCTTTTTCTCCTCTTTTTTTCGGTAGTGTATTTTAGTTGGGGAACCCTCCAGGAGAGACGAAGCCGTCGACTTCGCTTGCCTGGGGCGCCGGAGGCTCCAGGAACCAGCGGTGGCTCTTGGCCTCTGGGGCCAAGATGCGCTTGGAGGGGTTGAAGGTGAGCAGACGGTTCAGCAGCTCCAAACCTCGGTTCAAAAATATGCTCCCCGGCTAAAAGTGAATCACTTTTGGCGGTTTAATCCACGCTTGTTCGATCCGCTTGCCTCGTTCGATCGCCCGCTATGTGCAGCTGGAGACACCTGTCTACTTTTAGTGGTGTAATTCTGAAAACCCATCAGTTGGCTCCCTGGCAACATGTAGAAAAAGGCAAAGCCTCTCCAGCCAGAGACCTGGAGTCCGGGGGAGGTACCATGGAATAAGGGTGGGGCGAGGTTCCCGAAATCGGGGGAACCCTAGGGGTTTTTTTAGGGTGCCTTGAGGGAGGCTTAGAGGAGCTATATGGGGATGTAGGTAACCTCTCGAGTTGCACCCATCGAGTTGATCGAAGATTGGGCCGCTGGGAACAACTGGCTGCGAACGGTGGGGAATGTGGTTGAATGAACCCAGGCTTCGGTCCCCGAATGAAGGAAACGACAAAAAACGCAAACCGCAACAGCACCCCCCCTTTCCGAGTTCATTGTTTTGTTCTTTCTCTCTTCCGGGGGACGACTAAAAAAGAAGCAACTTGAAAGTAGAAAAGCGACGATTCAGCTGGATTGAATGTGGTTGAATGAACCCAGGGATTGGTCCCCGAATAAAGGAACCACTTGGATGGTGTTTTTTGTCTTGGGGTCAGCCTGAAATTCAGCAACTGGAGTCCGGAGGC